AGGTTATCCTGCGATGGGATACCTTTGGGAACATCAAGTGCCTCAGTGGGGTGACTAGGCTGTAAAGTGCCACATTGTTTAGAATGAGTCGTGTGTGTGTGTGTGTGTGCACTTGTTTTCAACTCCTGGTGGGGTCCATAACCTGAGATTCCACTCACGTCATGGGGACTGGTTTTAAGTGGTGGGGCCCGAACACCGGACCCCACTGGTCCAAGCTTAATAATCAATGGGTAATGCTTTTCTAACGGTCCTTATGCAGTCTCTGCAAAAATATGGAAAGGACCCCTGGAGGTTTACTTTCCTGAAAAAAGTGTGTTATGTGTCGGAACCCTGGTGGTGGATTGCGGGATATCAAGGAGGGGCACACTGGGGCAATTTCAGTCCAGCAGGCTGGAGCCAATCATGGAGCAGCACAACAGAGGAAGTCAGGTGTCAGGCTAGAAAAGGTGTGGTTCATTAGGCTGCAAGAAATCATGGAGGAGCACATTGAAGCGCAGGCTTACAAACCACTGGTAGGTGCTGACTACAAGTTATGACTTCAAATTGTTATATAGAATTATTACAAATTATTTGTTGTTTGTGCAGCTTAGTCAAGAGTCCCTAATTGATGAAGTCGACTCAGATTCTGACGATTTAACTGTCAAGAAGAAACCTGTAAAAAAGTATGGAAAAAGAAAAATCTAAAATACTTTACTTCAAGACTCGGAAAGTGACGAACCAAAGGCAAATAAAATTGTTATCATGCAGCAGCAAAAAAAGAAAAATGGGGGGCGAGTTTACAGCAAGAGGCACTTCTGCCTCTACTGTTCAATGTTCTGCCACAAAATGTCCCGTCATTTGACTAGAAAACATGGAAATGAAAGTGACGTAGCCAGAGCATTGGCTCTACCTGTGAAATCTAAAGCACGTAAACTTCAGTTTGATTTGATCAGGAATAGTGGAAACCGTGAGCACAATTTTGAGGTTTTAAAGGCCGGCATTAGAACTTTAGTCCCAGCTAAACAGCCAAATTCCCCAGTTATATCCAGTGAGTTTTTGCACTGTATAGACTGTGGTGCATTGCTTAAGCGAAAGTCGCTGTGGAGGCATGTGGCTCTGACTGAGGACGTTAGAGCCATGCATGCACATATTGAGGTATGTCGACCTGAATATGTGCAAAGCCTAATAAGTGAGCCAACCTCTAAGCATTGGTCTAAACTGGCAGTTTTGACTCTTTGTGAGGTCATTATTTTCAATCGAAGAAGGGAAGGTGAGGTTTCAAAGATGCCACTGACAGCGTTTACCTTAAGAAGTAAGACTGGGATCCATTCTGACATTGCTCTGGGACTGTCCGAACTTGAGAAAAAGCTGTGTCAGCATTTTCAACGCATTGAAATTAAAGGGAAAAGAAGTCGGAAAGTGCCGGTTCTTTTGACTCCTGAAATGATTGCTTGGATGGAGGTGCTGGTGGAGAACAGAAGGGCCTGTTCCATCTCTGACCATAACCCATACTTCTTCTCCCGCCCGGGCGCAGACACCCACATCAGGGGATCAGACTCCCTACGGCAGGTAGCCAAAGAATGTGGTGCGGTGCATCCAGAGATGCTATCCTCAACCAAACTTAGAAAGCACATAGCTACTATGTCTACAGTTCTCAATATGAAAGAGAATGAAATGGACATACTTGCCAACTTCCTCGGCCATGACATTCGCATCCACAGACAATATTACAGACTACCAGAGGGGACACTGGAGCTGGCCAAAATCAGCAAAGTGTTGATGGCCATGGAGCAGGGAAGAGTGACGGAATTCCAAGGAAAGAGCCTCGACCAGATACAAATTGAGCCTGAAGGTAATTCTTGATATTATTAAAATATGTATTATTTTTTTCCCCTAAAGGCCACTTGTATTTTTATTTTCTGTGCGACAGGGAGAGCAGTAGAGATCCTCTCACAAACGGACGGGCTAAAAGAAACTTCAAGCGGAGAACCTTCAACATTCATCCAGATGCACCCCATGGTAGTGGCAGTGCCTCTTCTGGTAAGTGTACCAGGTGGGGGATTACAGCCAGGCTGCTTGGTCCTAACCCTGGGAGTGTATATAGCTAATATATTTTTATTTCTCTCCCTAGAACGTGTAAGAAAGCCATGGTCTGCATCTGAGGTGAAGGCTGTGGAGAAGACCATGATGCCTTTCATACAGACTGGAAAAGTCCCTGGGAAGTCTCACTGCCTGGCCTGCATTAATGCCTCACCAGATGACCTTAGACATCGGACATTGAGTGGCAATAAATTCTATGTCAAAAATAGAATCAATGCAATTCGAAAAAGAAATCAAAAATAAAATTCCTTTAAAAGAGTTGTTTGTTTTCTATTGACTGTTTTGTATTACTTAAAGTAGTCCCAGTAAAAAAGATCATATCTATGGGTCCCATTGTGAACGGCCCTGTCAAAAGGACCCACCAGGTAACAAAAACGTGTGTGTGTGTGTGAATGGTTGAGGTGGCAACGCTATATAAAACCAATGTATTATCATTTTATTGACTACTATTAACTATTTTTTAAATATTTTATCTATTTTTATATTTTTTTCATAACTTAAAATATGAAACCAAGATATAGACTCATTACATGCAAACTAAGACTGTTATATAATTCTGGCTTAGTCCATATATCCATAATATTCTAATTTTCTGAGAAGTTTCAATTCAGGTTTTCACAAAGAGTGAGCCGATTATCATTAAAACAGATAAAGGCTCGATATATCTCACTGTGTATAATGTGTCTATCATATTACATTGTAAGTTGATTTGAATAACTTTTGAACAGTTATCAAGTTTTTACCTGTACATACAGTACATTTCAAGCCATGCAGCTGAATCTTGTCTCCTATAACAGAGAATATCTTGGACAAGAGTTAGTAAGTGTCCTGGGTGTTTAGAGACATGCAGCGACAGATATTTTTTTTTATTTTTTTTATAGTTTTATTCATTGTCTGTCTACGCCTTAATGTAGACAGGCATGAAGTCTTTTGAGACTCCACAGCAGCAGGTCAATATCATACAATGTGTTTAACAAGGAAAAACCCTGTCTATATTTTGTACTGTTTATTGAAAACTCCAGAGTAGCGGACACTGTTCTGTACGTGTTATCGTCTGTATCTAAAACAATAGAGAACTACTTCTCTCTCCAGCTCCATTCTTGTATAACTTGCTAATTGCTGAATATAAAATGAAACTGCAAGTGTGTGCGGATTTCTCCTTACCCACTAGTGCTTGTCTGTAGTGTAGTTTAGGGCACAGGGGAGACAGCCGGGGCTCCTCTGAGTCTCTGTTGATCCATGATGTCTGCCAGAGCTTGCTGGTTCTCCCCGGTGAGACCCTCCAGCTCCAGCCTCAGGGACTTGAGCACCGGCTGGTTGGCCCAGAGCTTCCCTGTCCAGGCACCACATACACAGCAGTTAGCTCATTCTCACAGGAAGCTGCCACAACGAGCAGAGGAGATTAAATTATTGGTATCATACATGAGAACTTACACAAACTTATAATACATGTTGTGGTGGTGAACGTTGGTATCCGTAGTCATGATAGACCTAGTTATCATAAATAATACAGAGAGAATGCATCTTATTCTGCCATTGAAAAAAATAAGCTTCAAACAGAATCATCTTTGAATTCTTCTCAGTTACAAGTTAAAAGTATGGGGTGCACCTGCTTGTGTTATAGCTTACCTTAAGTAACAATGGTAACGATGGCCACTGCAATAAAACCACATTGGAATACATTTGCAGACATGACAAGAACATACAATAAAACAGGTTAAAAATACATAAAACAGGAAACAATTGACTCTGAGAAAATGATCAGCTAAAACAGTTTCAATACAAGTGCAAGATCATTAAAGTGCTCTGTTCAAACTGATAACAGCTTGTGGAAAGAAGCTGTTAGCATATCGAGATGTCCTGCATCTCAGAGAGCGATATCTTATGCCAGAAGGAAGAAGCTGGAACATGGCTTTTCCAGGGTAGCCAGATGAGTTAGCAGGTTAGCAGTTGTGCTACACAACAAGGTCCTGGATTTAATTCAATTTCCAGAAGGGGCATTTGTGAGGAGTTTGTATTTTCTCCCCGCGTCTGCGTGTGTTTCTTTCAAGTGTTTTGATTTCCCTTACCACTAAAAATATGTACAATAGTTAGTGAGTGCAACTATGGGACTACAGGTCCAAATTATCCCAAGGCAACCATCTGGTGTAATTAAAGCACTCAGTCCCAAACAAATAAATAAAATAAATAAAGAATATACTTTATTGATAAGAAAAAAATAATCTGTGATTATAGTATTGGGATATATTGTGATGGTATCATCAGGTCTTGTGAAGAGAATCTTATCATCAGATACAAGACAATGTTTTTGTGTCTGTAGTGCACAAAAAAAATTTCAAGTGTCTTAGGCACTAGAAATCTAGATGTCAGGTGAAAGGGGTGTCTACAGTGGTAACATTGGTAACAATTATGTGTAATTATGTGTATCTAAACACAAGGAGACTATATAAAGTTGTCAATAAAGTTGTCTTACTTGAGTAAGATACTAGGTAAATTTCCTGCAAAGGGTCCTAAAAAGGTTGCATCAAACAGGTAGGTATCTCAAAGACATTGGCTAAACCATTTTAGAACTAACTTCCAATGATATCGCTGTTGTGTATCTAAAGAAAGATTTAATTACATTACAGTCCGTGTCATACTTGTTCTTACCATCTTAACAGTTCTTAAAACCGTAATTTGGTCCCGTCACTTGATGCCGATAATATAATAGCTCACAGAAATGTCAACAACCTATAAACTAATGCTATAGAAATGTGTTTTATACAATTAGCAGGAGCACAGCGCCATCTAGCGGCCTCACAAATTCAATGGAGGGAGGCGCATAACCAGGAAGTCTTTCACGTTTTTATTTCGTTTTTGTCCAGTGGCTAGACTACAGGCGAGACTGAAAAAACTACTTGTCGACGATGTTTCATGAAGATATGCGTGTCCGTTTGAGTACCAGAGAGTACACAAACTGGATCAAAGCGGGCCAGTGTCTGTGTCTGCTGGCCCGGGGTCTGCAGCCGCTTATAGACCGTGAGATGAGCCACTTCCACCACACACTTCTCAATCAAAACACACTGCTGCGGAGACCGTGTGAGCGCCACTGCAGACCCACTGGGAATAAGGTCTGGAGACTCCTCTCACACAAAGCCTTTGTGTTTGCATCAGTCTGCTGAAAATGTCCGGAGTTTGACCGAAAGAGAAAGACAACATGCGCTATTTGTTCATTTATCAAGTGTTCAAGGGGGGAAACAGTCTATGGGGGAAACCCTTTTCTATCAGTCATTATATTTGTTATGCCTATCCATGGACTTCAGCCTCTTAAGTTGATATAGTGAAGAAGATGACATAGTCTGGGATCGCGTCTTAAATTCAGACAGAAGACATGTTTTATTGTCAATGGTAGAGGCAGCACGAACAACAGATACAACAGAATGCAAGTGTATTATACAGAGCGGAGGCATGGAGACCTCCAATCAGCAGCTGCCACGGTGTGCTTGTAGCTTGGCCTTCAGATAGACAAAACAAGGGAAAAGTACTGGCTTCTGCACATTGATAGAATGATGAGTTTAACTTTAACAAAAGTTGCTTAAAAGTGTTATGAAATCTCACAATAGTGCCTGAATTAAAATACAATTGTTTTGATATGAGATGTTACAAAAGTTGACAATATAATTTGCACTCAAATTGTGGTGACATATGTCTTTTTGTGTGTTCAGCTTTTAGGAGCATGTCGGTGTTGTTTAGAGTGGCAGAGGACCATCCAGGACCACCACAGACAGCCCCAACACACTGTCAACTGGGACAACTGTTCACCCGTGTCTTGGAGAACCAACCACTGGGAAGTGGCAAAAGTACTGAGCACAACTGCATTCTATATCAACTAAACGTATTCTTTAATTTATTTGTTATTCATGCAACTTGTCTTTAGTTAGTACTTACTACCTTTGTCTGATGTCCTGTTGGGATAGAGTCAGACAAACGTTTATGTTCAACTAATGAGTTTGTGAGATAGGAACATGGATGATTCCTCTTTTCAAAGTATCCTGGACTTAAACTCCTCGTAATCTAAATAAACTACAGGTTATTTATCCAAACTACCAACCACTGGGTACATGGAAGGAGAATTGACCATTATTCAATGAATAATATCAAAGTATTTGACTGTTTAAATGTCTATTGTTGTAAATTTCACGTTTACTTTTTAATTTATTTTTCTTTGTTAGCAGTCAAAACTGACAATACACTAGAGATAGTAAAACATATTAGAGGGTCTTGAGATGAGGTTGGGGTAAAACACCATTTTCTGATTAATCAACATCAAGTTGCCACTTGCGAGTCCAAGTACTTAGCCCAAATGTGTGTGTATGTGCCGCATTTCTAAACTTGTGCTCTTCTGCTGCAGGCTTTCATGCCCCGGGGTCAGGGAAATATCAAAACTGCTGACCAATTTGATGCTGCTGCTCTGCTCAACCTCATCAACTCTTGCGACTGGTTTCAGTCTGTGGATCCCAAACCAGTAAAAGAGGTATGTCGTTCTAATATATTATATTAGAAATATTTTTGGAAAAGCCTTGGATAAGAAATTGAATAGTAATATCTACTTAGCTTGATAGTAACCATTTCTTACATACTGTTAATAACAAAACTATTTTTTCTGGGGAAAAGCAAAGTAGCGCGTATCAACAATCGACAATATAGCAACTTTTTTGATCCGCCACAACGTTACTTTTTAGTCACCACTGGCAGCTGTGACCACTCATCTGCTGGTGCTTGCGGTTCAGTCACCACTCATTCCACATTGGTGGTTCTCATTCCACATGGTATGTTAAACATGGTATGTTACACATGGTATGTGAAGCACAAGGGCACTAGTGGCGGCGCTACTCATAGCGGACACTACCGACACTGCGCGGGCAAAGTGCGACACAGCAGCGCCAGAGAGGCTGACGTTTTTTTTAATGAGGAGAAAGACGTAATGCCCTTTAGCGCAGATGGTGAGGTGCTTGAGTATATGAGGCTCAGAGTAGGTCGTAAACCGATTCCTTCAAGTGAGAGCTGTGTTCATGAAATACATCAACCCAGTGTGTACATGCGCTGTGGCATTTTTTATCGTAAAGGGCATGAAATATCTGTTATCTTCATAGTAGAACCTCCACAAAACATTTAAGAACAGTTCTGCTCAAAGTCGAGCATAATAATAGTACACTAAAGTAAAGAAGTTACTTTCTTTAGAGAATAACTAAATCAAGTAAGAGAAGAGAGGCAAGTTACTTTTTAAAAGTAACTTCCCCAACACTGAACATTAACATAATTACTGTGTCAGGAGTGAAACAGACAGAGACGGATCGTGGCGCACCAAAGCTCTGGAAGTTTATTTAGGTTTCTCTCAGTTTCCAGTGGTTTCAGTTGTTTCAGTCTTTTTCAGAAAGAACAAAGGCAGGACATGATTTATATAGTCATTGTTACATCACACATCGAAAGGCACGCGTGTCACATTCTAAGACGCTCAGAGCATATTATAGTCATAACATGAATACACAATCGGAGTCCTTGTAGAGTCTTACGTTTGTCACCCTGGTAGGCCATATAGGTCCGTGTACTTTTGCGTTCAATAAATTTTCTATTTTTGGAGGGAAATGGAAAATCAAAAAAAGGCTATTTTGAATTTTCAGGCACACGGCCTCGTTGAGTCAATTTGATTCTACAATAGTTTTACTTTCAGCCAATATTATTCTCATTTGATGAAGTGGCTTATCAGATCTAATCCTAATCAATTAAATTACTTCACACAGTACAAAATAAAAAAAATAAAATTGTGTCAGCACAGACCAATTACGACCAATTAGACCATGACCATTTTGAATTCAAATGAACATTTCTGGTCTCAAAAATACTGATTCAAATAAAGATTCAAGTGATAGACAATTAAAAATGTTTGTTTACATTGCAGGAAACGTTTAAATGCTTTTTTCTTTCAGGTTATGCTTTTCGCGCATCTATATGTAAATGTGAATGTATGAATGTGTGGATGTGTGTATGTGTGTATGTATGAATTTTGGGGTGTTTGTATGAATTTTGGGGTACACCCTCATACCAACTGCGTTAAAAGGTCACTGGTTCGATGTAACCACGTGGACACACTTTCTGATCGCATCCAGGTCTCCGCCTGGTGTCTTCACCCACCACGCCTCCAGAAACCTCATCAATACCCCGGGCTGCACACCCATTCTCTTCTGTAATGGGGGGAGGGGTGTGGAGGTGGCATTCTCGCCCTTTGCTCTGTGGCCTGTGGTCTGGGTGGTTTTCTGCTCTCAAGTGTCCACATGATGTTAATGTTAAATTGCAATCTGATTCACATCGTCTTCACCACATTCAAGGTAATTAAATCATTTCAAATGATATTTCACTTTTCAGGTGATACGATACAGGAATGAGTTAATGCACTCATCAGATTTCCTTGTGAGCGACACTTGGATAAATAATTTCGATTCAACGCTGAGACGCTTTATGCTGCATTTCAGAGATGATGCTTCCATGGCCCAGACTGAAAAACAGATTAACCAGGTGCCTGAATCCTCCACTACACCTCCATTGGGTTATTAGTTTCTGTGTGACGTCTCATTATGTCATTATCAGATGCTTCAAGCTGATTTGTCTATTCATATACACCTCTGGGACCAAACCGACTCCAATGACCTGGTCGCTGATGGCATCAATGCAGATAGCATCAGTGCAGATGTGATTGTTCAATGGGAGGCTGAGCTGCTCCAACAGAGACTGCAAGTGCTGCTGGAGGAAACGGATGAGAGTAGCACGTTGGTATGAGTTTAAAAACAGCTTTCAAGCGCAAAAGTAAATCATGTAATTAGAATGTGTATTTGTTTTCCAGAGTGCTGAACAGCTGAAGGGTCTTGACAGCTTTTTTGAGTCTAACAAGGATTTAGGCGAGCGCTTCTCTTCACAATTGCAAAACATGAACTTGTTAAGGAAAAAATGACTGATGCTCATCGGCCTAAGGATCTGTTTCACGGCATAGAAAAGGGGACTATTTGAATGGATTTTGGTGAAAGACTGTCGATGGGGCCAGAATAGTAGGCGTAAGAAATGAAATTAAAGCCTCAATTTAGCTTGTATGGATGTAAAGATGTGACTGTGCAAATTTGGTGAGGATCGGAAAAGTTTAGGTTGGAAGCCTCCCTTAGGTGGCGCTCTAGAGTCGTATTAGGTGTGTATTTTCAGACCATTACGCTCAGGCAATTATCAACTGTTAGTGACGTGAGTTTCAGCTCGGCAGGTCTGAGCCTGTGCCTTTAACTTTTTCTTAAATTGTATATCTCCAATCCATCCAGATGGGAAACTTTACTGCCACAAACTCTGCTCGTTTCCTTCCAGCTCTGACTCCGCTCTACCACTGCTCTGATCAGCAGCTCTGATTGGTCAAAAACACGGCCAAGCCCCTCTGTGCGCGTGCATGAGAGCCACACACGGGTATTTGGTGCTATGCATCATGGTAAATCGTCCACTGCGCAGAACTGGGAGGACCAGACGATGCCCAAATATAGCTGAGTTCCGCTGATATGTCGGCGCCGATGATGTCCCATGCACTACAGTACTTAGCACAAGCCATTCATTTGAATAGGGCGCCATTTTGGATCACCGGGGCTTGATTTGCGTGGTCCGGTGCAGGACTGAAGCACTCCCAGGCGTGTCGGGCGGGGCAATCCGCAGGTGTAGATGGAGGAGGCCAGGCTCAGAGATCCCGTTATCGTACCATGAAACAGACAATGGGACAACGGGTGAATATCAATGAACAAACTACAGTCAAAATCCTATTTTGAGACCTTAGGAACCACCAGACGTCTGTTTTGTGAGCGCAACGCTCGACTTGGTTGATATGACACTAACGTGTCTTGGAGATAGGAAGGAGCCAAGCCATTTATGGCTTTATATGTTAAGAGAAGGATTTTAAACTTTATTCTGTACTCCACAGGGAGCCAGTGGAGTGATTTTAACACCGGAGTTATGTGCTTCTTTTTTCCAAAGTCTAGATAAGTTAATAAACAGTTTCATATGGGGTGGCAAACCAGCACGTGCTAAAAGATCAGTACTATACCTGCCTAAATCATCCGGGGGTCTAGCGCTTCCTAATTTTCGGCATCATTATTGGGCTTCAAATATTCATAAAATCATATATTGGACAAGCTATAAACCTTCGGACCCTAGTCTACCATGGCTCCAAGCAGAGACAGGATCATCCACCTTCTCCTTACACTCAATAACCTGCTCAAATAGTTCACTTAAACCTCGTGACATTTCCCACAACTCCGTGATAACAAATACACTTAAGATTTGGACTCAATTTAGAACGGAGTTTGGCTTACTGGGGGCCTCTCTCAGTGCTTCAATTTATTATTATAATTTATTCCAACCTGGTTCAGACCAGGCTTTTGCAAAGTGGTCAGCAAATGGCCTTTGTTGTTTAAAGGATCTGTATGAAGAGGACGCCTTTTCCTCCTTCCAGACACTACGCACAAAGTTTAACTTACGCTCCAAACACCTTTTTTGTTACTTACAAATCCGTTATTTCATTCAAAAAACAATTCCCTCATTACCCTAACCGCCCACCAGAAACTAATGTTGACGAACTAAAACCACCAATGGTCTGTGATGGGAAAGTGACCTGGCCATTAAAATATCAGTGTCAATGGATGGAAATAAAAAAAAATTGTAAACACCCCATCCATCTGTGCAAGACATGCCTTGATGCAATTCAAAGTAACATAAAGAGCGCATCTTACGAATGCAAAACTAGCACAAAGACATCCAGATGTGTCATATGCTTGTCATAGGTGTAGAAACTCGCCCGCAGGTCACAGACACATGTTTTGGGCATGTCCGAAGTTTTAGAAGTACTGGTCTGATATTTATTCAATACTGTCAGAAATGTATAAAATTAGTATACCGGCTAATCCAATAACTGCTCTGTTTGGCCTTTTTTTGCCCTTGAATGTGCCATTGCCTTTGCTGCTCTGCTGGCCAGACGCCAAATCCTCCTTAAATGGAAACAAAAAACTCCAACAACCAATAGTTGGCTGCAAGAAGTCCTGCAATGTATACATCTTGAAAAAATAAGGTCCTCAGTCATGGGATCCCACAAACGTTTCTACAGTACGTGGAACCCGGTCTTAAAATACATGAAGGATACATTTTCTCATGGATGACGAGAGAGAAAATGAACCATAATGTTTTAAGCATTATTTGTTATGCACTTATACATTAAACGTACTTAATCTCTATCTTACATTCTTCCTTTTTAATTTTGATTCATTTATTTATTTTTTATTGTTTTCCCTTTTCCTTTTTCTTGGTATGGATGTGTGAGATGTATGTTATTTTTTTTATTATAGATATAATTTCTCTACAACCTAAATTTTTTTTTACTTTTAGTATTTCTCTTATGTGTGTATATGTATGGGTATATGTATACATATGTGTGTATATGTGTATGTATATGTAATGTATGTAGATATTTAGTTGTATAATATATATATATATATTTGTCAATGGAGTATGTTATTGTGTTATTATCATATTAATAAATGTAACGTTTAGTCTAGTGTGGATCTAAAAACTAGTAGTATTGATCCAGGCAGGGTGAAGAATGTGCGGAGTCAAACCCCCAGCTATTATACACAGGAAGTTAGATTAAGGCAAGGACCAGAGAACATCTGTTTAGAGTAAGCCTCAGGCTTACTTTGAGAGGGGCTACTGTGTGTTTTGGAGAAAGGAGCTATTGTGTTCACCTAAGGATGGTGAGACATGTGTTTTCAATTATCATGTCATGTGACTGTGTGCTTTTCATCGATAGCCTGTCTTGAAACAGGGTCTTTTGCTTTGGGTGTGCCAGGGAGCAGGGCCCAGACTGATCAAGCAGTCTGCCACTTGTCTGTATCTTATATTCTGTCTTTTTATATATTAAACCCTTTTTTATATATCTAAGCAGAATTTGTGGTCCATTTTTCGAAGGAGAAACCGTGGCTGAACCAGCGTTAACATATTTTGGTCCTTCTTGAGCCGGATGTCAAAACATCATTTTTTGGAGCTGACCGTCGTCCTACTGGAGATCTGAAACAGCAGCGTGGCTTGGAGGTTGCAGGTCGAAAAACAACTGCAGTAACAGTCTCTTTGTGGGGTTTGATCAGCTTCGAACATCGGATTGAAGACACAAAAGCCACGGACATCGCGATAACAGGCAAGTGTGAATTTACTTTTGAAGTCAATTTACTTTTGACTCAAAAAAGAGGCCGGGGATAACGAGGTTTATCCTTTTTAATAGTCGAGGAGCTATTTCTTAGGCCTGGAATAACGAGGTTTATTCTTCTAATAGTCAGAGAGCTATTAAAGACAGTCAGAGGGGGAGCCCGGAATAACAACAGGTTATTCTTTTAGATAGTCTGTAACTATCATAGACTGTAATAATAACGGGGTTATTATTCAGAGTAAGTCGGGGACTACTTTTTACTGCAGTTAAAAGTGAACGGGGTTCATTTTGATTTAAAGACGTCTGTGTGAATGTGTGTGTGAAAGGAGGTCAATCTATACTCGAAGCACCGGACAACCAGAAACCTTGCGGTGATAACAAAAAGTTGTCGGCTTGGTGAAGTAGAGTTGAATTGCATCTCATTATGTTTTAAGTAATCGTGAAAGTGGTCTAAAACAATTACATTCCTTGTGATTAAACACCCGGGAGAAACCGGATGAAACATTAAGTTTTATCTAGAAGCTTGTTTCTCGAGGAAGTGATTTGGCCCGTGAGGCATTCCACTAAGATCGTTTACAAATGTGTAATTTATATCCACTGTTGTATAAGCAATAGTTATTAAATAGAAGTTGAAGAAGATATCTAAGTAATTTACTAAAGAGTAAATATGGGTTCATCTTGTACTAAAACTGTGGATCTGAAAGGGGATCCTAAGTTTATGCAGAGAAAAAATCCTGAATCAGTTAAGTATTTAAAAAACTGGAAGAAGAAGTATGGGTTTGAAGGTAAACTAACACTGAAAGAGTGTGAAACACTGGTGATGAAAGTTAGTTTAGGACTTAAATCCAAAAAGTTGCCATCAGAAAAACAATTGCATGAGCAGAAAATGGCAGAGCTGTGGTTAGTTGCAGCAAAGTGTAGGAATAAGCAAATTAAAGAGAAGAAGAGTGAAACCAGCCTAGTTGCCTTTACAACAGAAGAAGACAATTTGGTCCAGGCAGGGAGGCGCCATGTGCAGCAGCAGCAGCAGCAGCAGCACCATGTGCACCAGCAGCAGCAGCAGCAGCAGCACCATGTGCACCAGCAGCAGCAGCAGCAGCAGCAGCAGCAGCACCATGTGCAGCAGCAGCAGCAGCAGCAGCAGCAGCAGCAGCAGCACCATGTGCAGCAGCAGCAGCAGCAACAGCAGGCTGTAGTACAGGCTCATAAATACACAGCGGCACCACCTCAATATACCCCACTGCAACAGACAACAAATCTATTCCCAGATAATTCTGTAAAACTGCAGGATAGTTTGTATCCACATGCAGAGCTAGAAGCAGCAGCACAGCCACAAGTCTGTGATGGACAAACACCTGTTGCTACTAGATCACGGCTTCCAATGAACAAGTCTTGGAGCAAAAGTTTTGGAAACCTTTTCAGTCCAAGGGTTGACTTCTCAGAGAGAGGAGCAGATGCATTCCCAATGATAGAAGTCCCAAATCCCACTCATGATCCACAAGTGGTTGGAAGTTTGCCTACTATGTATGTCTTTCGTACTTGGACGAAAGCAGACATAATTAAAGCCACAGAAAGTGTCCCAAGCCATAGAGAAGACCCAGATGGATTTTGCGATGGTATGAGACAACTGGTGGACATGTATAGGCTTAACGGAATTGAAATTAGGGACATTTACATGACGAAAATGGGAGTTGATTGGACAAGAGTAAGACAACACTATAACCCAAATGATAATG